CGATTTCTGGGAAACAAGAACATCGTAAACCGGGCGGCCGACAGAAAAGGGTCGTTCAATCATATTCAAAGGTTCAATCAGTGGGTCAACTATTTGGATGGACAGATTATCGAACACCGTTGAGAAATGCAGTCGGTTTCTTTGTTAAGACTGTGTTATTCCATTTGTTTTAATAATTATTATTTTTGTAACGTTATTTTAATATTAATAAACTTCATACGTAAAATAAACATGTAATTATTTGTGTAGTTTACAGTTCAGGTGTGAGGTGAACTTACGGCTTACCAGAAAAACGTACGCGACGTGAATGAGTGGCGTTATATACAGGGCGTGCAATAACTTGAGTTGTTACGTGACAGAAGAATTTAATCATTAGATAAGTTATTTAGTGATTCGTGTTAAGTTAGTAAGATCTTCGTGTTATGATCGTGTTAAGAACTATGGACAAAGCTCTTAGTCCCATATTTATAAACCGATCTTAGGCGTACTCGATCTGAATGTAATTGGACTCCGACGGGACGAGACATTAGTGATAATAGTTCACCTTTTAACAAAAGGACCGTATAAAAAAGCGATAGTTATGAATATCGCGAGAAAATATAATACCAAGCACATCTCGCGGTTTAGATACGTGTTCCAGTCAACAAAGTTATATACGAAGCTAGAATTAAACAGTTGGAGAGAGATTGTTAAGACGAAATCCCAAGTCAACATCTAAAATGCTGTTCGCGCTGACGTTACGAAAAACCAGTGGCATTTTTGAGGAATATCTGTCAATGATACGTGAGGAAAGTATCAACCACGTTTTAATTGCACAAACAGCCATCTGTTAGGACACAGGCAGAGCGTTGCACCGTAAACGCAGGTAAAAGACCAGCTGAACGACAAAATAAGGGTGAGTCAAAACCAATTTTAATTTTATCTAATAATCAGGCGTCTAGTACTTGCTATTTCATTGATTGTGTTATTAACGATGAACCTATACGAAGCTTTGTAGACTCGGGTTGTGCTGCAGTTACAATTCGTGAATTCGTGATGAAGTCATAAGTTGCATCTACAGGGTTAGCCCACATTAGTACGTTTGTGTGGTTATGCGGGAGATTTTATAAGGTTACGACAACTTTGAATGTTGATTTAGCTACTTCTACTGTTGACGTACCGGATAATATACAGGATGTCCTAGTTATTATAGGTTAGCCATTTTTAAATAATGATATGGTTACAGTTTTCGTTAGATGTAACCAAGTATGACATATTTTAATTAAAATAACGTCAACGTTACGCATATTAACGAGTCTTTGTCTAAGAAAATTAATTTATGTGTAGAAAAAACTACTATTATTCCGCAGAATTTTGTAGGTAACATTTCTCCAATTAAAAATGAAAACGTTAGGGGTGTTTTTGATGATCTAAGATATTTTTGTAGAGCTAAGATGTTTTTGTTGATTTAAGATATATAAATTAAGATAATCATTTTCACATTAATGTACCGTATGTTATTAATATGAACAATTGTTGCTGTATTCCTGTCTGTTTGTTACGAAAACGACAATACTTACTAGATGTTCTTCATGTACCGGAGATAAAACTTGCTTAGTAACAAAAATTGTTGATTTACTAAATTTTACATTATTAGCGCTTGAAAATCAAACTAATTCAGAATTAAATAGCATTGAACGTTCTAAATTACTTAGATTATTTAACGAGTATATTATGTATTGTTCCGCTACTAATTTAGGACAGGTTGCTAAAACGACTCTTACGAAAATGATCACACTAACCGCTAGCGAACCTGTAATGTACGGTTCATACTGTATGACTTTTATTTTGGTAAATGCTTCTGCTGTTATATAAAGGAGGATAAAGACCCATGACGAAGAAGAGGATGAAAGACCCCTAGGAAGAAGCAGGATAAGGAAACACCTGCAAAGGACGCCCAAATCGGAATGGAAGTCGATACACCAAGGACACTGTAGCAGACTTTGCAGCACCTAAGGATATCAACGAAATTCAGTGATTTTAAAAATAAAGAAGCTAGTAGAACGATCCATATATGCTATTTATAACAGATAAGTGAAAACTGAAGAACATTGTGACACCAGTAAAGTCGGACCAGTAGAAATACTTCTAGAACGTCAAAATGACAGCAATTTAGGCCAGTATAATATTTAGTAGAGCCACAAGCAAAGGAGAGTAAAAATATTATTCATGAGCTTGAAACTTTGGCGGCTGTACGCGCATTTAAAAAGTTCTGTTTTAAGTGGCATAAAGTTAAAATCGTTACCGATTGTAACTTACTTCGTGACACCCATGTGAAACGAGACTTGATTCTTCGCATCGCAAATAGTGGTTATTAATTCAAAAATTCGATTTTGGCATTAAACATCGTTGTGACACTAAGATCAGCCACGTAGGCGCTCTGAGCCGATGTACCACTATACTTATGGATAAATCACTTAACGTATCTGTAACGTATCTGTATCTGTAACGTATCTGTATCTGTAACGTATCTTTATCTGTAACGTATCTGTATCTGTAACGTATCTGTATCTGTAACGTATCTGTAACGTATCTGTATCTGTAACGTATCTTTATCTGTAACGTATCTGTATCTGTAACGTATCTGTATCTGTAACGTATCTGTATCTGTAACGTATCTGTATCTGTAACGTGTGGAGGGTGGGTTACCCCCCCCCCACGGTACTTAGGCCTCATTAGGTCCATTGTGCATCCTCCTTAGATGATAGGCATCTCCTAGCTCGTGAGCCAGCCTACAGATTTAATGTAGTTGACGTCGCCAAGAGGTGCTTCTCTTATATCAGCCGGTGTTAGCCGAATAATTTAACGTAATGATAGTAAATATTGAGGAAGAATACTTTCAGCACAACTGCAAGACATCACTTGTAACAATATTATCAATGTTTTGTCACGAGATCCTAAAGATAATGACAAACGGTGAACCACAAATTCATAAAGAGTACTGTTTAAAGGATAAAATGACTTTCGAAAAACAGCAAAAAGAAAGAGATGATTTATTCCAAAAACAGCACGACGAATAACTCTAATATTAGTACATTGCAGCATCCTCATGATAGGTCATTTAGCAGTTGATGACTTTACGAAATTTTTATAAGAGTGTTAGGATAACTCGTATCTCATCATATCAATTAACTGCTTTAAGAAATTTTTATAAGAGTGCTAGGAAAATTCGTATCTCTTCACATCAATTAACTGCTTTAAGAAATTTTTATAAGAGTGTTAGGAAAACACGTATCTCACCATATTAATTAACGGCTTTAAGAAATTTGTATAAGACTATTAGGAAAAACTCCTATCTCATCGTAGCACTTGACGGCTTTAATTTACGAAATTTGTATTTTTTTAAAAAAGCGGTACAAAAATACAACAATTGAGCCGGTGCCTGTACTGCAATTTCTAGATGAGGTAATAGAAATATTCGGGGTTCTTCGCAGTTTTATTTGCGACGGTGACACTGATTTTATGAAAAAGAATTTTAAGGAATACTGTTTAACTGTAGAAACAGGTATGTTTAACTGTAGGTGTTAAACAAGTATATTTAACGTTAGGTATTAAACATGTAGAATGTACTACTTTGACCCATCGGGCTAACGGTCAAGTAGAAGACGAATCCCGTTGGGATGAAGCTGTGAGCAAAGTTACGTTTGGAATTAATTCGACAGTTAATTTCACCACCATAAAATCACCTAGGACAGGTTGTACAAAGAATGATGTAAACTTAGTTTAACCATTAGTTTATTTTTTAACTGGTTATATTTACCGTACAATTATCATTTTTAAAACTATATTTAACAGTAACCAATCATCATACAACGAGGTTCATAGGTTAAACTATGATTGCATTTTAACTGCCTGTTGTACAACCTACCCTTATGAATGTTTGTTTGGTTATCGCCCCCGTGGCTTAAGTGACGCATTTCTCACGTCAGAGGTTACATGCGAGCAACGCCAAGACCTAGGGACGTTAAGAGATGATGTTTCTCAGATAACGAGAACAGTAGCTTCTGCAGAAGCAGTATTACGATAAGAGGCATGCCCCGTTACGGGAATTTAAGGTTGACCAACATGTGTTGTACAAGGCAATAAAGGCCCCAATGATGGGCGGAGCAGAAAGCTTGAACCTTGTTATAGAGGACCCTTCCTAGTTACTAAAGTACTTGATAATGATCGGTACGTGGTTGACGAACTGCTAGGGTCTGAACGTTGTAGGACAGCTAGATACGGGCATTTGTCCTTCAGACAAAATGAAGTGATAGTTTCGCAAAGCGACACTGTGAAGCCGAGGACGAATAAAAATATTCGTGCTCATATTTATTAATTTCAGCTTAATTAATATATTTTCTTTGTTATAGTTTAACCATGTTTCACGGGGTCGTGAAAAAGTCAGGTAGGCCGACTGTAATCTATTTTTGGATGGTCCCTTAACCCGAGACGATTTCTGGGAAACAAGAACATCGTAAACCGGGCGGCCGACAGAAAAGGGTCGTTCAATCATATTCAAAGGTTCAATCAGTGGGTCAACTATTTGGATGGACAGATTATCGAACACCGTTCAGAAATGCAGTCGGTTTCTTTGTTAAGACTGTGTTATTCCATTTGTTTTAATAATTATTATTTTTGTAACGTTATTTTAATATTAATAAACTTCATACGTAAAATAAACATGTAATTATTTGTGTAGTTTACACCTAATACCTGGATATTAAATTCCCTTTAAAAGGTGACATAATGTTGTATTATTAAAATATTATATTGTTTTGTTTTTATTTGTCGAACAGTTTCGTCCTGTAATAACTAGTAATTTTAATGTTTTAAATATTTTTTTTATTTCTTGTGCTTTTGTATCATTAATTACATTTGAAACTAAACTACAAACATTTTGAGTTGTAATAATAATCTACAGCACTTATGCACCAGCCGCTTCCGACTGTTAATGTTAAATATGATAAAGATTGGCTTACTTGGAACACAATGTGGAGGTGGCAAGTTCCAAGAACCTTCCCAGCAATATCTGTTGGCTGCCGTTCTTTCGATCGGTTCGTAGTAATTAGCACATTTGAAGGTGGCGCTGGAACCATCTGTAGCCGATTCGCAGCGTATTTCGGCCAAATACTCATCAAAACACTTCACTATGGTTGTTTCAGAGGTGTAGAAACTCGGACAAAGTTCTGAAAATAATTATAGTTAATACATATTGTCATTTCAAGAAACGGTAAATAAAAAATTACTTACTTAAACAAGTTGGTGGGGTGGTAGACCATCCGCCGTCAAGACAAACAATTAAGCTGATTTTCCTAGATAGTTTGTATTCTAAATCGCATTCAAAAGTTAATATGGTGCTGACATTCACTCTTGTTCCTGCTTCAGCTTTGGCACCTCCTCGCATAACCCATCGACCGTGTGCTGGGTACTGTGGCAAAATGCATTCCCTAAAAAATTTAAAGAATTCTCTCAATATTTGGTTTCCTAGACTTTTAAAGGTTCGTTTAGTGTGGAATTACCTCCTGTGGAGGTTAGCGTTCCTTCGATATTCGTGTAACCCCTTTGTACATCAAAGATCAAATTTTATTCTAAATACATATAAGTGTAAGTAACCTAGTGAATCCACTGAGGCTGAGCTAGCACGTGGATTTGCAGTTGACACATTTTTTTATATACCTATTCAGTTACATATATTTTTTATAAAAATTGAGTAAAATGAAAATAATTATTAATAAAATAGATCTATTGAATCATACTACAGTTCATCAAATTTCTAGAGGTGTTCGACGCCCAGACAGAGAACGCGCTACGTGTGACTAAGATAGCTATTGTACAGTCTGCTAAACAAGTTATTTTAAATAGTTTTTAATATTTTTAGGTAATTAAATTTTAAAAGTGTGGAATAGTTTAGGGATTAAATTGGTCTGATTGGACTTTCTTAGAACGTTTTTAAAAGCAGCTAAAGATAGTATGTAGAATTGAAAATAATTATTATGCCATAAAAGGTGTTTTGGAATTCCTTCAACCTTTTGAAATTGAGTCAGAAAATATAAATTTTATAGGATAGCGGAAAATACCTATAATTTTTTTGTAGGCCTTTGTAAATCGTGGAAATAGTTTATATTTTATTTCTACCTTATTAAGGAAAATGGTACCTATTATTAATAACGGTTGTTTCTGAAACATTACTAAAATTTTCGAAATTTTGTTTTTCTACAAAATAAACTATACTATTTAGAAAAAAATTTATTTCTCTTATAATTTTATAAAAAATAACAGGGGAATATTTACATTTCTTGATCTATTAAACAAAACGATAAATTATCTCGACGAATGACACCATGTTCTAGTACGGAAGCTAGCTTTACATTTTTGTTGGTGGTTTCATGGGTTTCATATCAATTTTTTGTAATTGTAGTTTACACGTACATATACCTCTTAACACTTGTTTGCTTTATTAAAAAAGTGTGTTGTTGTGATTTACGTCGAAATAAGTCAAAAACAACTTGAAACCCCATATAAAATCAAAAAGGAGAAACGGAAAAAAATTGAGCCTGTAAATGAACACAACTCAGAAACAAAAATAGCTATCTAATAATAAAAAAATAAAATTTGATTCTTGTGCAGCTTCATCTATATCATTAACTGTTTTTGGTTTTTTAATGGTTTTTCTTGGTGATGAAAATTCCGATATCTCACGGTTAACGATTCTTTTTTTCTCTCCAGAAATGCGGACGACAGTGTTTTTAGATACTCCTGTGGCTGCAGCAACACGATCATTTACATTTTTAAATGGTATTGAAGGTGAATTAAAGTTTCCTTCTCTTCTCATAAACTCTATAACATTGGCTATTATTTCGCGAGATTGACTGTTAATCACGCGGCTTCTTAATTTGCTATTAAACTCCATACTTAGGTTCTATTAAACTGTAATGAGCAAAATACACAAACGAAAATAAAAGAAATGTTTTAGCGAAATTTACATCTGACATTTACGTCTGAATGAAATAGTGAAATACTTGATGCGCAGAGTGTACTTTCATTGCGTAAATCCGTCGGGATGCCTGTCAGTAGTGCTTTCTCTGTCTAGCCGTCGAAAGCCTCTAGAAATTTGATGAACTGTAAAAAAGAATAATTATAAGGGGGCAGAGGTCTTTTGAGTCTGGAGAGGTTGCATGATAGATTTACTGTGAGTTTGGTCTGCAAAGTAGCCAATAGTGCGGACCCACTACTGCAGCTGGTTCGAGACCGTGAGACAGGTAAAGCTGCGGATGAACTAGGTTTCAGATATGGAATAGATGAGAACCAATCTCTTACAAGATTAAAACCCGCTCAAGTAAAACGTATAGTTAGAGCAGCAGAACAACAGCTGCTCTTTGTTACATTTTTTTTTTAATTACAAGAGTATTTTTATTTAATGATCTTTGGGTGATAAATATTACTATATTTTTATTTAAAGTTAATTGTCAGTAGTTAAAACATACCTTTGGTACAATATAAACCTTTTAGTATTGGTTATTTTGTTTTTAATAGGGAAATATCCTTATTGCCAGCTGTGCATTTTGTGTATTTCATTTCCGTATCACATTAATTTAATATGTATAATAGAAATCCCAAATTCAGAGCTAAGTGCGGTTCTGTTTATTTTTATTTATGGTTAGAATATAAGTCAGTAGGTCAAGGAATCGTTTCTGTGTCGATCAATCTCGAGCAGTCACTTAGCTAGTCGCTATACACTTTTTCTTTGTCTGAGCCGCACTGAACTGTGTAGCTCATACAGCCACTTAGATAATTTTAAGGGTGAGATTACAGAACGTCTGCAACTTTGCAGATCTGCAAATATAGCGGCAACTTTGAAAATCTGCAAATATGACTGACTTACACATGCAAGTAACAAGTTTTCGTATTCCAAATTTGGGTTTAGTGTTGTTGGGGGTAATAAACCACAATAAATATTGCGAATTTGCAGATATTTTTTGGAATACTTACATTTGTAAGTCCGCCATATTTGCAAAGTTGCAGATGCAAAGTTGCAGACGTTCTGTAATCTCACCCTAATAAGTATGATATTCTTTTGATTAAGGGTTTACTCTTGAAGAAAAGTAACTTTGGTAGATTTAGGGTTTTTAATAAATTAAGCTAGTTATGTAATTAGTTTTCTAGGTTTTAAGTTGTGTATAATTTCTGTGTGCCGTTATACTGAATAGGTCAATGGTTCAGGCCATTTTCACCAAAAAAAAAAAGAATGTCCAACTAGAAGTTTGTTTTTTTTATGGCTTCCTGTTTTCCTTCTTCTTGGTACTGGGGACAGACGTGGGTACTCGTTTTTGAACGCTGTGAGGTGGTCGAGTCATATATTTTTTTTGTTGGTTAAGCAACTGTGAGTTGGATTTTGATTCGATTTACCAATACCCTTTTCGTACCCTTTATCGTGGTTGTGTTATATAGTTTGGATAGGGTACGAAATATTCTTTTAAAGAAGGATTTAAACCGGCGTTATATGAAGAAGAGAGCTGACGTGGGGACCTACCCGCCATCTTGTCATGTTCGAGTTCCAGGCCGGTGGATTTGTCTTTTCTGGATAATCCTAATATTTCTGACCGGCGGAAAGCTTGAAGACTTCACTTTGACCCTATGCGAGGAGAGAATACCGTGGTCAAATCACTCTGAACTAGGGAAACCCGAAGTCTCCTTAGTGAAATCTTGGTCGCTACCTGAAGACCGGACAGCTTTGCGGTCAGTTCTCCCTTGGTCCTGGCAGTTACTTGGGAACCTGTCAGTTCTTCTGTTCCTTTGTTTGGAATCTGGAAAGACAACCTGGGTAAGGTACTCAGGTATTTTAATCCATAAGAAGATCCGGGCAACCGTCTATGAGCCAGTGCCTAAGCTAAGTATTTTTTGTTCAAGTTCAGTGTTACCTTGTTGTTATTATCAAGTGCTTCGCCCCTTTGGTGATATAAAAAATGGCACATTTATCTGTGGGATTGGTGGAACCAATCTTCCTATGTAAATTTATTTAATTGGGTTACGATAGTAAATTTTATTGTTAGTGGGGATCATATTTTATATAATATATATATATATATATATATATATATATATATATATATATGTTTAGAACTTTTCATGTGTGGGGGGTACCATCTTTTTTCTGTTTTATTATAGCCACCAAGGCGCTGATCTGGTAACTCTGTAAAGAGGGCTAGTAATTTGCTTGCCATTTAGTTTGGTTTTATTTTATTTCCACTTCAACGCCTTATGTGGTTGGTTTATTTTTAGGTATAAGATATTGTGGCTACTTAATGCCCAGTAACCATTTTGTTTCTTTTGTCAATACCATGTTCTAATTTTCTATTTTTGTAGATAGCAAATCTTGTATCTTGTACGCCCCTTTGTTCGAACAAATGGAGCCTTCGTGTTGAGATACTTGTAGGCAGTTCTGAAATTAAATTCCCCATTAATAATAACAAGCGTACCTTATTTCTAAAATCTAAAAGAATAGCTGGTAGTATAGTCCAGTGGACGACTGGACCTTATGAGGTAAGTTATCTTTCTATTTTGTGGGTGCTCATTTATTATAGTCCAGGATTATTATTATTTGGGTCAACATTAATGGTTAATAATAGTAACAAATTTATTTGAGCCTAAATTTATAGTCAAAATTGTAACATTGATAAATTGTGATATATTTCTAACATAACTTGGTTAAGTGGTTGTCTATCCTCTAAACAACGAGGAACTTTGTGGTTTGAGTTAGCCCATCAAACCTCTGGCGCATTATAAATCCAAGAACCGCAGCTCCTGAGCTAGTCGGTGTGTTCACAAGCGTATCAAGGGTGGTAGACAATTTGTAAAATTTGTAAAATTAGTAAATCCTTCTAAATCAAAAACGCTCGTAACATCTTGAAAGATCACGTTAGCAAACCCCAAATCGTTGTTTTTTTACAGGAACATAGAAGATCTTATGTAATGCCGGCCTTAGTTATTAAGTTTAAAATAGGCTTAAGTATAATTTTAATATTTGTAAATATAAATCATAATATTGTAACTAATTATTGTTAACGAAGAACTATGCAATTAAGTAGGTTACCTGTATTGACACCTAAGCAATATGAGGTAATTTGTTTAATTAGATGGTTTTTCCAATATAGACTGCAAGGTTCAATGAAAGAACGAATGCAGTAATTCTTTGTAATGTAACCCATATTCAAGTTAAAAATAAATGATGATATATATATTCGATTCGACTTTGGTTTCATTAACTAACTTTACACTTAATCTATCTCGGGAATTAACTTTCTCCTTTCTTCGATCAGCTGACTTGAAGTCTGAGACAGAGGGATTCTTGTTAGCTTGCCAGGATGGCGTAATTAATGCTCTTGTATACCGCGCTTAATTTAAGCATGTGGCGGATGTCAGATGCAGAATATGCCAACACTACCCGGAG